CTGATTGAGGGTATGTGTGCCTGTGTGAAATCAGTTTATTTGGAATTTATCTATTGATGGGTGACAATGCTGTCAGACATTTTGTACTCATATACTGTTTTGTAGAGTGGGAACTGCTTTGTACAACTACTTAAAGTTAATAAAAAAAAAATTATCCATTGAGTACTGAGCCATCCCTCCAGTGGCCGACAGGTGGCAGCAGAGGACAGAGGTGAAAGCTATGCTCTCAGCTATGCTCTCTTACAGGAAGTAGCATGGTAAAGTGTCAGTTACTTGATCAAGGAAACCTCAATAAGCTTTATTTCATTCATTTTCTATTTACTGGTGAAACATAAATGTAATATATTTATAAGATAAAAAAAGCAGAGGAGGAATTTGAACACTGTAGCCACATGGTGATGGCCCTGTACTGTGCATGTAGTGCTGAACTGTACGACTCTGAATGGGTAAGTTTATATGAATTCCATCTTAATAAAACTATTAAACACCACCTAAAATACTAAATAAGGGTAATAGAGAAAACCTCATTTACTAAGATTAGATATTTTTTGGCTTCCACTATCTGAGGATTTTACATCAATGCATTCTAGTTTCTATTTTATATAAAAATTAAACCAAGGGGCTGGGAAGGTGCTCAGTGGTAGAGCGCTTGCCTTGCATGCTTGAGGCCCTGGGTTCGATTCCTCAGCACCACATAAGCAAAAAGAAAAAAGCCAGAAGTGGCGTTGTGGCTCAAGTGGTAGAGCGCTAGCCTTGAGCTGAAGAGCTGAGGGACAGTGCCCAGGCCCAGAGTTCAGGCCCATGACTGGACCAAAAATAAATAAATTAAAAAAAATTAAACCAAAATTTCAAACTAAAATTTTTATAAGAAAAATCAATTATTTCATATAAAAGTTTGTGTGTGGGGTGTGTGTGTGTGTGTGCATGCATGTGCATGTGTGCCAGTTCTGAGATCTAAACTCAGGTCTTAGTAATGTCCTTCAGCTTATTTGCCCAAGGCTAGTATTCTACCACTTGGCCACAGCCCCATGTCCAGTTTGCTTATTTATTTATTTAATTTACTTATGGTGCGTAATTGGAGATAAGAGTCTCATGGACTTTCATGCCCAGGTTGGCTTTGAAACACGTTCCTTAGATCTCAGCCTTCTGAGTTGCTAGGATTACAGGCATTAGCCACTGGTGCCTGACTCATATGAACGTTTTAAATGCTGCTCAAAAGTTCTTATTGGGAGCTGGGAAGGTGGTTCAGTGGTAGAGCACTTGCCTTGCATGCTCGAGGCCCTGGGTTCGATTCCTTAGCACCACATAAGTAAAAAGCCGGAAGTGGCACTGTGGCTCAAGTGGTAGAGTGCTAGCCTTGAGTTGAAGAGCTGAGGGACAGCGCCCAGGCCCAGAGTTCAGGCCCCACGACCGGACCCCCCCAAAAAAAATTCTTATTGGGAATATAAATTCAAATGACAAAATCTCTTATTTTCATGGGGTATTGTTTGTTTGGAGACAGGGCTTGCTATGTAGCCTAGACTGCCCTGGAACTCACAATCCTCCTGCTTCAGCCTCTTGAGTGCTGGCATTACAGGTGTGTGATACTACACCTGAAAAAACTGTTACTTATAATGTTTATAAACAAAAATCATACTGTTGTCTTTAAAGAAGGAATGTACCCTTTGGCTGAACTTTGTACTATAAAATATGTAATGGTAGAGGTAAAACACTACTTTTGAGGAAGAAAAAAAGATGAGCATTTCTATTTTAAAAAAGGGGGGGGGAAGAAGATTGCTAGGTACCGGTAGAACATAGCTGCAATCCTAGCTACTCAGGAGGCTAAGATCTGAGAATCATGGTTCAAAGCCATCCCAGAAAGAAAAGTCTGTAAGACTCTAAGCAGCAAAACAGACAGAGTAGTAGTGTAGCTCAAGTAGCAAAGCACAGCCATTAACAAAAAGAGTCCTGAGTTCTAGTCTCAATACTGGCACCAAATTTAAAAACAACAAGATTAAAAAGATTTGTGGCTGAGCATTAGTGGCTCATGTCTACACCTAGCTACTCAAAAGAGTCTGAGATCTAGGGACAGATGTTTGAAACTAGCCTAGGCAGGAAATGCTACTTTTAGGGATTCATATTTCCAATTCATCACCAAAAAAGCTGGAAGTGGAGGTGCAGCTAAACTGATAGAATGCCAGCTTTGAGTTGAAAAGCTAAGGGATCACACCGAGGCCCTGAGTTCATGCCCCAGTATAAGCACAACAATTTTTAAAAATGCAAAAGAAAAATACCAGTCTAAGAGTTAGATGCATATCATTTTGGGGATCTATTTACACATGTTTATAATAGTGATTTAAACACTCATCTTCATAAATATGACCTATATGACATCTCAGAGTTATTTGGAAATTTATGTTGAAGAGGAAGTAAATAATACTAATTGTGCTTCTCTCTCCTTGCTAAAAAATTATCTTGAAATTAGATAATTCTAGCATACTTACAGCCAACTCATGGTGAAGTTTACTATCACATAGTGTAATTTATAAATTTGACTGAAATCACCCTTATTTCATGGGATAGTTTTATTTGAATTTTGGTTTGTATTTATTCTTTTTTTTTGAGATTGGTTATTATATAGCCCAGGTTTCCCTTGATTTTCCTTCTTCATTCTCCTGAGAGCTGAGATTTGAGGTATGCACTATCACACCCAGCTACACGTACTACTTAAAAAAAATATGCTGCGGGGCTGGGAAGGTGGCTCAGTGGTAGAGCGCTTGCCTTGCATGCCTGAGGCCCTGGGTTCGATTCCTCAGCACCACATAAGCAAAAAGAAAAAAGCCAGAAGTGGCGCTGTGACTCAAGTGGTAGAGCGCTAGCCTTGAGCTGAAGAGCTGAGGGACAGCACCCAGGCCCAGAGTTCAGGCCCCACGACCGGACCCAAAAAAAAAAAAACAAAAAAAAAATAAAAAAATGTGCTGGTCCTGAGACTTAAACTTAGGGCGTAGATGCTGTCTCTGAGCTTTTTTGCTCAAGGCTAGCACTTTACCACTTGAGCCAAAGCTCCACTTCTAGCTTTGTGATAGTTAATTAGAGATAAGAGTCTCACAGACTTCTCTGCTCAGGCTAGCTCCACACTGCAATCCTCTAATCTCGGCCTCCTAAACAGCCAAGATTCCAGGCATGAGCCACCAGCGCTCAGCTTGCACATGCGACGTTTAAGGGTCCCAGCAGCTAACATTACACATCATCACCATAGAAATTTTGAAAAAGGATCATTTAATAACCTTGTAAGTGGAGAGAATCACTATTCATATGGAGTATCACTCCCGCTCTGAGCTGAGGAGAAAGCACCATCCTTATCTCTCAGCACAGAGACCAGAGCCTCAGGAGAGCTCAGAAACCTGTCCAAAGCATCACTCCACTCATGCCAAGGAATGAGTGGCCTGAGGCTTTCCCCTCCCGTATCACCACAGGCCCTGTGCACGGGTAAGAGAGCTGTCCTATCTTTTTTTTTTTTTTTTAAGTCAGTTGTGGGGCTTGAACTCAGGGTCTGGGTGCTGTCCCTGAGCCTCTTTGTGCTCAAGACTAGCTGTCTACTACTTGAACCAGAGTGCCACTTGCAGTTTTTGGTTAATTGGAGATGAGAGTCTCCTGGGGACCTTTCTGCCTGGGCAGACTTTGAACTGTGGTCCTCAGATCTCAGCTTCCTGAGTAGTTAGGATTATAGGTGTGAGCCACCAGCGCCTGGCTTGAGCCATTTTATCTTTTGGCTGCACAATCTTTTTTTTTTTTTTTTGTCAGTCATGGGGCTTGAACTCTGGGCCTGGGTGCTGTCCCTCAGCTTTTCAGCTCCACTTCTGGTTTTCTGGTGGTTTATTAGAGGTAAGAGTCTCCCGGACTTTCCTGCCCAGGCTGGCTTTGAACCATGATCCTCAGATCTCAGCCTCCCAAGTAGCTAGGATTACAGGTGTGAACCACCAGTGCCTGGCAAGGTTACACAATCTTTTGACTAACAACTTGCCATTAAATGACAGTGTAAAGATAATCCTCCAATCACTGTTCTCTTATGCAGATTACCCTGTGTATTACAACAGACCAGGGCCATTCACCCAGGATTCCCTGCCGTTGTAAAGCTAGTTAGTTACCTTCTCCACCATTCCACCTGGCTGAAGACTGGTGATGCTCTGCGCTTTCAAATCCTGGCCACATGTCCCACTGGCCCTGCAGGGGTCTGAGCAGCTGGGCCTGGGCTCGGCCTCAGGCCTCTTGCAGTGTGGACTGATCCTGGCCACAGGTTTGTGCTTAGACACCAGATTTTCGTTCTTGGACTGGGGGGATGTGGGGTTCTCTGGGCTTGCTGTATAGACTTTGTAATCCAGTTTGGGTGAACTCCTTGATCCTGACAGTTCCTTTTTTCCGGCACCACCAGGATCACTCCTGGAGGCCCCTGTGGAGCCCAGCAGACTGGTGGCCTGGGCAGAAGCTTCCATCCTTCCCTCTGCACCACGCTCTTCTGCGTCCAGCGCGCTGCCAAGCAGTGGCACGGAGCAGGCCTTGCTGACCTGCACCTTCCGGGGGGGCTCTTCTTGCTTGGTGACTTTGGAAGGGATCGCTATGACGTGGCCAGTGTCATCCTCTACCAGGGGCCTGCTGGGTCCTGGGAGGGCTCCCGGGAGGGAGATGCAGTCTGTGTCCCCATCGAACTCTTCCTCATCGCTGGCATCGTTGGCGTCATAGCAGCGTACCCGTCGCTGGCGGAGGAGGGGGTTTCTCAGGCCCTGTGGGCTGCCAGGGAGACTGGCTTGCCTGGCAACGGTCACCTGCTTGTGGAACAGCCCAGAGGCTCGCTGGCTTCCAAGAGCCACAAGGCTGTTGGCCCTGGCTTTTCCTGGCTCCTTGGGAGCTGAAGGGGATGGAGAGAGAAAAGTCACATAAAGTGAGTTCCCCCTTTCCCCCCACACTTGGCCTGGTCCTATAACTCCATCACCACACACCAGCGTTTCCATAGTCACAAACACTAGACACGCAACCTCCAGCCGCTGGATGACATACTTAAGTGATAGAGCTTCTGGAAGGCTATACAGAGTCAACAGCCAGCCTATCACAGAAAGGATTATTTTATTTCCTCTGTAGCATATCTCCTATATTGCTGGTATCCAACCTAAGTACTGCGACTGGGAATTCCTCTCAAAATGGGTGGGACCAAGACAATGTCCCACATACCTAGGCCTTCTTTTCTTTTGTGGTGATGAATAACAGGCCCTCAGCTCCTGAGGCACGGGCCAGCCATGTCTGAGTTGCCTACGCATGCTCACACCTTGAAACCTGTGTCCCAGAGAACACAGCATGCCTGGCAATTCCAAAGAGTCAGCGGACATTGTCTGCCTCTTCTAAAACCAGGGCATTTTCTTGTTCAGACAGTGGAAATCCAAAGGAACCTAACCCAGCAGATGTTCAGGAAGTCGCTATAGTTCACCTCGCATTATCATCTCATCTTTAGAAGACTGTCAAGAGCTGGGCATGGGTGGCTCACGCCTGTAATTCTAGCTACTCAGGAGTAGCAAAGTACTAGCCTTGAGCAAAAGAACTCAGGAACAGTGCCCAGGCCCTGAGTGTACCATGACCACCACTACCAATAGCAAAGACTGTCAAGGACATTAAATACCAACCTTTTGCTAATCACTTTCTCCTTCTTTCCCCCTCCCACCTTCCTCCCTTTTGTGCCTACCCTGGGGCTTGAACTCAGGGCCTGGTCACTGTCTCTAGCACTCTACTACTTGAGCCACAGTTCCATTTCTGGCTTTTTGGGTCATTAATTAGAGTAGAGTCTCACAGACTCTCTTGCTTGGGCTGGCTTCAAACCGTGATCCTCAGATCTCACCTCCCAAGTAACTAAGATTACAGGTGTGAAAATGACTCACTCATTGGCTTATAAGAATTCAGTTTTGATCCTGGATTTGGCTGGGATTTCATGAAGTATGAGAGACTCAGGATGCCCACCTCAATTTTTGTTTTCCAGGACTAGGGATTGAATCCAGGGCCTCACACATGTCAGAGACCCACTGAACGCCACCCCAGCCTGATTCAAGACTGCATATGACAAATGGCATCTAAAGCAGACTAGAGTTAGCCACCTTACTACCTGAGGACAGAAGGTCTGCCCTGCCTGCTCGCGGCCTGCACCAGGGGCATGTCAGCAAGAGCAGCTGCATCTGATACCAGTGGTAAACTCTGCCTTTTAGACAGGGTGGGCTGATGATTTGGACTTAACCCAGTGTGTGGTCTCATCACTTTACTAAACCAGGCAAAGTGGCCCTGTGCTACCCACGGCCCGCAGTGCGATGGTGAGAGCCAGCATTGCTTACTGCAGGGTGGAGCCCAGGACCCTCGGTGGCCACCAGGCAGGACGGTGTCCTCTGCTGTGCTGCCACTTCCAGAGTGGTCCTCATCCTCAGAGCCAGCAACCAGGAAATCCGTCAAGTGACCTTGTACATCTTGGGTGAAGTACTGGGAGAGGTCAGATTCAGAGATGAGGGAGTCCTGCTGGGAAAGAAGTAGGAAGTCTCTATTTTCTGGGAAAGATGCTTGAAAGGCAGATTTCCTAGCTTTACAGTGTTGGTAAGTGCCTATCTCCAATAATTAATGCATACAAAGATCAAATAAGATCAGTAATAAGATTGATAAGTAGTGAACACAAAGGTGACTTGCTGCCAGACACTGTTTTTAGAGATTGCTTTTAGAAAAAGTGGCCACAAAGCCGGGTGCTAGCGGCTCACACCTGTAATCCTAGCTACTCAGGAGGAGGCTGAGATCGAGGTTCAAAGCCAGCCCAGGCAGGAAAGTCTGTGAGACTCTCATCTTCAGTTAACCACCAGGAAACCAGAAGTGGCACTGTGGCTCAAGTGGTAGAGCACTAGCCTTGAGCTGAAAAACTGAGGGACAGTGCCCAGGCCCAGAGTTCAAGCCCCACGACTGACCAAAAAAAAAAAAAAACTGGCTACATTATAGGCAATACAGAATCCTAGAATAAAATTCCAAACCAAATGAACTAGCTAGATGGGGGATTATAAATTAAAAATTGGAAGTTTGGCCCAGTGCTGGTGGCCCACACCAATAATCCTAGTTACTCAAGAGTTTCAGATCCAAAGCCAGCCCGTGCAGAAAAGGCCATGAGACTCTTATTTCCAATCAACTACCAGAAAACCTAAAGTAGTGCTGTGACTCAATGTGGTAGAGCGCTAGCTTTAAGCAAAAGGAACTCCAGGCCCTGAGTTCAAGCCCCATGACTGACAAAAAGTTTGAATCCTGTGCCCTGATACAGTGTTTCTGTTTCCTTAAAGTTGAAGAGTCCAAAGATACTCAGGCTGGCTTGATTACAGAGCAAGTTTAAAAAGCTACTGCAGTTCAGCTCTATTCTGTTTATTTTCTTTTTCTCTTCCTTCCTTCCTTCCTTTTCTTTCTTTCTTTTTTTTTTTTGTTGTTGTTGGTCATGGGGCTTGAACTCTGGGCCTGGGCGCTGTCTCTCAGCTCTAAAGCTCAAGGCTAGTGCTCTACCACTTGAGCCATAGCATTGTTTCTGGCTTTTTCTGCTTATGTGGTACTGAGGAATCGAACCCAGGGCCTCATGCATGCAAGGCAAGCACTCTACTATTGAGCCACCTTCCCAGCCCCAGTATTTTGTGTTCTTTTCTGGACAATTATATTTTCATTTCTTATTTTTTCCTTTTATTGTATGCAGGGGATACTGGGGCTTTGAAGTCAAGGTCCTCAAGTTTGCTAGGGAGGTGCTGTACCACTAAATATTTTAAGAGAAAAACACATTTGGGTATTTGTTGTCAAATTAGTGTGGTTACAGAAACTGGAGGTGTGCAAGTAGTAAAGCACCAGCCTTGAGAGAAAAAGTTAAGCAAGGGTACAAAGCCCAAGTTCAAGCCCCAGTACTGGCCCCATAAAACAAAACAAAACAAAACAAAAAAAACCTTTAAAAATTAGCAATGGGTTAGCAGGCCACCAGTATCTCACGCTGTAATCCTAGCTACTCAGGAGGCTGAGATCTGAGGATTGTGGTTCAAAGCCAGCCAGGGCTGAGACTCTGATCTTCAATTAACCCCTCAAAAACAGGAAGTGGTGCTGTGGCTTAAGTGGTAGAGCATTAGCCTTGAGTACAAAGAAGCCAGTGACAGCATCCAGGCCCAACAACTGACAAAATAAATGCATAAACAAAATTAGCAATGGTTGCAAATGCCTGTATATTGTGGCAGAAATATGGGCAAGAGACTAAGCCATGACTCATTGGCTTCAGGAATCAGCTTGTGATACAGCTTAAGCAGGAGACAGTTAATGCTCAGACTTACCTTTTTGGCAAGAGAGGGACTCTTCAAGGGAGTGCCTGTAGGTGGGAGGAAATATTCCACACTGTCAATATAATTAAGCTAATATCATAAGCAGGCTCACAGATTTCACCAAAACAGGAGGAAGAACCAAGGGCATGAAACACAACTCTTCCCTTTGCTTATGTGGTGTTGACAGAATGTGTGTGTGTGGACAGAACAAGTTCACAGACCCCCCCGGGCTGGAACTTGACCTGAACCCGTTCTTATGCTCCAAGCCTGGGTTCTAACAGGAACCCAAATGGAAATAACTTCTCCTTCTGAATTTACAAAGTATCTCATCGTCCCACACATCAGTTTCTGTATGCAGAGGATAATTTAATAGTGAGTCTCATCTCCCTTTCTCCTCAACTTTAAAGCAATCCGTAGGGCAGAGATGTTGACTGACTAGACCCCAAGTGCTGTCCAATAATTGTCCAGGGGTATTTGCTGACTGGATTAAGAAAATGAATGACCAAAGGAACAACTTCCAATAAATACATGGAGGACTGGGGAGAAGGCTGGGCTGAGCATTTAGTCTTTAAATTATATGCCATAAGTAAAGGAAACTTAGGGCATGAGGATCATGGCTTAAACTCTTTGCTAAGTGATCTAGTGGAAATGTTGAGATGAAGAGCACAGCTTTCAGGCAGGTCAGGTTATATAAAGAGCCTATTATGGCTGAGTCCAATGAAATATATTAATTATGGATGCAAATAATCAGAGTATTTCATGGTTGCCAAAAAAAGATCTGATTCCTTTTCCCCTGACAACCAGTAACTCATATCTCAGGTTTTTTCCCCACTATGGACATCAATCTGAAGGATGGGAAAAAACAAAAACAAACAAACAAAACAAAAAAACCCCACTAAAGCTCAGAAGGAAACATTCATTTTAAAACTTGATTCAAGATTTAAATTCATTAGAAACTTCTAGGATCTCAATCTTCTTCCTTTAGAGGGGGAAATCGTATTATTTGCTCCCTCTCTGACACTCTTTGCATTGATATATTCTAATTTCTGCCAAGAAAGTTCAGCTTTTGGAAGATAATAGTCTATCTGCTGAACTATTCATATTTTCAGATCATGTCACTTTTACCTATGGCATTACAGATAAATTGCGCATCAATACATGAAATGCTGTTAACTCACTTTTGTAGATTATGTGAAAGGAAAATAAGAAGCATGCATGATTAGACCTGAGATGAATTACACTAGATAACCATGGAAGTCAAAAGTAGCCACTGAGAGAAAGCAGAGCTGCTCTCTGACAGCTACTTTCACCAGTCCTGACAATTAGAAAGAATTTAACACAGGGCAGTGCCCTGTGGGTGAACTTAATGAGAAGCTTCTTAATGTTAAATAAAAATGTACAATGATCATACCTAAGCCAGGAGAAGAACTGGCTTCTTTACTCTCCTGAGAAGTGCTCTTTGCTATTACTTCATCCATCTCCTGTTCGGAAACCTGATTTTTAGCAGAAAGTACAAATTACATAGCTGTATTTAGTTATTCCCCACCCCAATACAAGTAGTGAGGACCAAAGTCAGAGTTGATCAAGATAGAGGCAGATCACAGGGTTAAAGATGATGGGCATCATCCGAAGCAGTAACATAGGACATACCAGTGCAGCTGGGTTAACCCCAAGACAGATAACAAGACCTTCAACTGCTCTCCTCGTTCAGTAAGCAAAGCATTCAGGCACTGTGATCACTACCAATATGGCTATAATCTGCTTTTTCTTTTTTCTTTTTTGCTGGTACTGGGGCTTGATCTCTGGGCTTGGGCACTGTCCCTAAGCTCCTTTTGGCTTAGGGCTCACATTCTACCATTTGAGCCACAGTACCACTTCTGGCTTTTTCTGTGGTTAATCAGAGATAAGAGTCTCAGGGATTTTCCTGCTTGGTCTGGCTTTGAACAGCAATCCTCAGATCTTAGCATCCTGAGTAGCTAGGATTACATAAGTGAGCCACTGGAGCTCGGCGAATACCTGCTTTTTCTCTACAACAGTTAATTTTTGTGCTGGTACTGGGGCTTGTGGTCTTGCTTAGCTTTTCTCAAGCCTGGTGCTCCCTTGAGCCACAGCTCCACTTTCAGTTTTGTTGTTGTTGGTAATTGCAATTAAGAGTCTCATAGACTTTCTTATCAGGGCTGGCTTTGAACCTTGATCTTAGCCTACCAAGTAGCTAGGATTATAGGGTGACCCAGTTTCTATGGACCTCAGTTTCTTCATTTTAAAACTTTATTCAATTAATTAAAAACCTGCAGAAACATGCAAGAGCAGTACAAGAAGAGTACCTACCTTCGATAATTTTTTAATTTCACATCTTTTGCTACAGTTACTTGTATGCCTTATCTACGTGTATGCTGCATACATATTGCTATCCTTTTTGTAAAACCATTTGCAAATTACAGATATCATAATCTTTTGCTAACAAATATTTTAACTAGTATCTCCTAAAAATGATGACTTTCTCAAAACAGCCATACGATTAACAGACTCAGAGAATTTCATGTTGATGACTATCTAAGGTACATTTCACATTCTACGTCAATTGTTCTACTACCATCCTTTTAAGTCTATAAGCACAACTAGTTCCAAAGTTTGCTGCCAGCCTTCAAAGATGTAGACTTTCCTCCAGATTGCAAATTAGCATGGCTTCCTTCATCAAAGAAGTCTTGGTAGGGAAAGAATCTCAAATGAACTAAATAGTGTGCTTAGAAATGCAAATGATTCACTTTCATCTTGTTTCAGACCTATCGTGGACCATCATGCCCCAATTTCTTTACATGGTAATACTTTATTTAAAAAAATGATTTTTGGCCATCCAGGATCTACTGTATGTCTTTAGCCTACCTGTCTGTCTGTCTGTCTGTTTCTTTTGTTCCAGTTCTGGGGCTTGAACTTGGGACCTGGGTGCTTGGTGTTCCTAAGCTTTTTGCTCAAGGCTAACACTCTTCCACTTGAGCCACAGCTCTATTTCTGGCTTTTTTGGGTGGTTAACTGGAGGTTAACTGGCTTTTTTGGGTGGTTAACTCTCACAGACTTTTCTATCCAGGCTGGCTTCAAACTGTGATCCTCAACTCTTAGCTAGGATTACAGACATATCCATTTAAATCTCTTTAATACAAAACAGTTCTGAATTTTTCTTTGTCTTTCATGGTATGGTATTTTAGAAGAAATCTAGGCCAGTCCAAAGCCTCAATTAGCATCTATCTGTTAGTTTCCTCATGTTTAAATCAAATTAGTTTTTTCTTGGGTGTGGGAGAGACAAAAAAACTACAAACATGATTTCCTTCTCTATCCAGAGGCAATGTGTCTCATAACTGGCGATGATAACACTGCTCTCTTGTTAGAATAGCATGTACCAGATTTCTCTGGGACTTGAGGGTCACTAATGAATAATGAGTGAGGCGACAGGTTGAAACTATGCCAGTATCCTGTATCCCAATATCCTTTGGCTTTAGCATCATTATTCTGAAAGTTACCATGAAGCTTTCAAACAGTGATTTCATATCTTTTCTATTCCTTCTGAATTTAATAATATAATGGTAGAGTCATGGAATTTTTCCCCAATTAGTTGTTATACTTGTCATCATTCAAAAAACGTTATTTCAAAAGGTAATTAGAACACTTGCAGGGGTTCTTTTTTTTTTTTTTTTTTTCTTGGTTGTGGAGCTTGAACTCTGGGCCTGGGCACTGTCCTTCAGCTCTTTGGCTCAAGGCTAGTGCTCTTCTACTTGAGCCACAGCGCCACTTCCAGTTTTCTGGTGGTTTATTGGTAATGAGAATCTCATGGAATTTCCTGCCCAGGCCGGCTTTGAACCATGATCTTCAGATCTCAGCCTCCTGAGTAGCTAGGATTACAGGCATGAGCCACTGACGCCTGGCTCAGAGTTTCTTTTTTTAAAGATAAGAATTTTTTACGGGGCTGGGAAGGTGGCTCAGTGGTAGAGCGCTTGCCTTGCATGCATGAGGCCCTGGGTTCGATTCCTCAGCACCACATAAGCAAAAAAGAAAAAAGCCAGAAGTGGCACTGTGGCTCAAGTGGTAGTGTGCTGGCCTTGAGCTGAAGAGCTGAGGGATAGCGCCCAGGCCCAGAGTTCCCCCCCCCCAAAAAAAAGAATATTTTCACTAAAATAATATTTAGCATAAATCTTACTTGGAAAAGCAAAGTAATCTGTCTTAAATAATAAGTATTTCTACAAAAGATTTGGTATTACATTTTAACCCAACAGATAAATCATAACCATCATAGAATCTATGTAATATTTGTAGTAGGTTTCATGGGAAATAATGTACATAAACACTCACACATTTACATTCACACACACACAAATGAGTCAGAGAAAGGATCAGCTTAAACAGCAGTTGCTATTTTTGACGGTACTAGACTTTCAATATTTGCAGTTGTTTTTCTGAGTGGGAGAACACCAGATTTCTATGACTTTCCTGGACTTCACATAAGCTGGAAGCTGCTATCTTAGCAGCTCTAAATCTTCCCCTGTCTAGACCTGGAAGGTCTGAATAACCCAATTGGGCAGCCACTGCTCCCGACATTATGAGAAACAGAAGAATGAAAAGCCTTGTGGTATTTCTCTTGGAACAACACAAAACTAAAGAGCACATACATCCAGTATCAAAATGCACTACTGGCACAAGAAGCTCGGCTAAGTGGTACAAAAATACATTAAACATAAAATGGAATCTTGACCTAAAGAAAAATACCATATGAGCTTTCCACCAAGACCCCCATGTTGACCTCGGAAGAAAGGTGAAATCCAGATACTGAGATCTGGTTTTGCTGGATGCATTTACAACCCCATCTCAGACCATTTTCCTGGATCTGGAACCACGAATCACCTGTGTGTTCAACAGGATCTCATGGCCCCCATCTAGGGGTATTCTTGTGAGCTGAAATACAACTTTGATGTCTGACTGTGTTGGCAAAATAGAACTAAGCTTTTGGGCCAACATGTGGTAGATGATAAACAAATCACCCTCGGCATTATACTGCAAAACTGAAGCCAGGCATGACATGACTTGAGCCAATGACTGCTAACCACTGGAAACTTAAATGTTCAATAATGTCGCTGAGGGAAATATTAGGTCAACCACAGCTCGCTGGATGGCTTCCTGAGGAGAGAGGAGGAGGGCGTGTGTGTGTGTGTGTGTGTTGTGTGGTTGAGTCCCTGTGCATATTTGCTCTCACTGTAACCAGGCGAATAGAACTGAACCTGACCCCGGGCAGAGCTGAGGGCTCAGCAGTGGAGAGATGCTACAAAGTAGAAGAGAGTCAGAGACAAGGCTCAGGACTACAACTTGTGGGAGAAGAGTGGCAAGTAAGTAGGAAAAAAATGGACCAAAGTGGAAGCAGGACTTGGTTTGGTATTAATGATACTCATTAGATCTATACAAGACATTTCTGAGAATGCACTCCAGTCCTTTAGTGCTGATTTTTCTGGAGATAGGGTCTTTCTTCCTGACCAGGTATAGGCCTGGCCTGTGATCTGTGACTTTTGGCATGGCATCAAAACTAAGATGTATGCCAGCACATTCAGCCCTAGGTTGAGAAGGGGCCTTACAGATACTTTTATTTCCCCCCATTAGCTAAGGACTTCAATCCTTTCAGTCAGCCTCCTTTGTAGCTAAGGGTCTAAGCACAAGTCCCTGCCTAGAAGAGACAGTGTTCTTAATGAGGCTTTTTGAGCTGTTACAGCAGAGGCCAGTGATTGGAAGTTCATGATCATTTGCAAATCCAGTCCACATCTGCAGTGTGATACTGATGTGGAAAAATGGAGAGGGGTCTTAGGCTTTCATTACAGAAGTATCCTGATCAGGCCAAGGATGGCCTGAAGGAGGAGTCTCTTCTTTCATCTGCCCCACAATCCTAGTGAAATGGTTCTTAATATTCTTGGGGTCACTGTCAAAGAGAATCTGAGATAAGCCTATTGACTTCATCTACAAATACAAGTGTGTTTCCACTTTGGTTCCTGTAAACGTCTGTGGACTTCAAGTTAGGAATCCCTTCAGAGGGGCTGGAGGCATGGCTCAGGTGGTAGAGCACCACCAGTCAGACCAAAACAAAAAATCCTTTCAGAGTTGGGCCTGGTGGCACATGCCCGTCATCCTAGCTATGTGAGAGGCTGAGATTAGGAGGATCCCAGTTCAAGGAAAGCCGAGGTAGAAAAGGACATTCGATGGCTCATTCTCAATGGAAGATACCATGAGCATCTTCACAATCAGTGATTTACAACCTGTTGGCATAGATTACGTGTGTTCCTTTTCTTTCCTATGGGATGGTCCACATGAGACGAAGCAAGGAAGGACTCGCCTTCTGCTACGTGTCTTTTGTAACACAAGCAAATCCAGTATTGAACAAAGTGAAATTAAGAGAAATGGCCAGGAGAATTACAAATGTATTTATGCTGTGGAGCGAGATTTGAGAACTGTTGTATAAGTAGTCTGTGGTCAAAAAAATTTAGCATGAATGACTTAAAAAGAAACAGCTTTAAGCACTGGGGTCATCAGACAGGAAAACAGGATCTTCCCCAATGTGGAATAAACTCAACAGATAATTTCATTATAGTGTATTTAAAGTGTTGGGCTTTATATTTCTCCACTATTGCTTTTGGCAACATTGGAGTTTGAACTCAGGATCTTTATGTTTGGCAGGCAAGCAATTTACCATTTGAGCCATGTCATCAGTACCCCTACAACACCTAATTCTTATTTCTTACTTTAAGAAAACTTCAAATTCACTGAACCTGATTTAAAAATCTATTATTCAGCATTAAGCTTAAAGATGAGATTTTCCAACATGATCAAAGAAAAGATGACTTCTTTTTTTTTGTTGCCAGTATTGGAGCTTGAGCTTAGGGCCTGGGTGCTGATTTTTAGCTTTTTTTGCTCAAGGCTGGTGATTTACCACTTGAACCACAGCTCTATATCCAGCTTTTTGGTGGTCAAGAGATAAGAGTCTCAAGACCTGGCGGTGCAGGTGGCTCACGCCTGTAATCCTAGCTACTCAGAAGCCTGAGATCTGAGGATCCCCGTTCAAAGCCAGTCCGGGCAGGAAAAGTCCCTGAAACTCTTATCTCCAATAAACCACTAGAAAACCAGAAATGGTGCTGTAGCTCAAGTGGTAGAGTGCTGGCCTTGAGCTGAAGAGCTGAGAGACAGCACTCAGGCCCAGAGTTCAAGCCCCACGACAAAACGAAACAACACAAAACAACAACAACAAAAAGAGATGAGTCTCACAGACTTTTTTTTTTTAATGCAAGCTGGTTTCGAACTATAATCCTCAGATCTGAGCCTCCTAAGTAGCTAGGATTATAGGTATGAGCCTGTAGAAAGTATTTATCTCAAACCCTTAAGGGTCAGAGAGATTATTACCCAGCCCAGTGTGTTCCAGTTTTCTTGATGCAAACATTAAGTGTCCCACCAGTAATCAAACAGTTCTGGGGGTTATTCAGAGCCCAGAACTCCTACCCTCCACCAAATCAAAATTCAAATTCACCAAATAAGACTGTCCAAATTTCCTAATACAAATTTCTAAGAGCATGATGATAAAGCGGTGAGATCAAAGGTTCATTTTCCACCTGTGTCAGTCGCTGGCTGACTTCCCACACCAGCTGGCTGAACTGTCTCACCCGATAGTGTGTACTGTGGCTGTGCTGCGGGACAAGCAGCCAGACCATCTCCCTGTACTCAAGACAAGATGAATCATTCACCTTGGGGTTAGGGTGTCGGCCGATGACCAGACGGACTGGTCCGGGGGGACACTTGCTCAGGATGGCATGCACTTTGCTTAAAGCAGCATGGCGCACGTTGACTGAGTTGACTTCCAGGATTTGGTCTCCGCGGCTGGGGAGGAAGACATAATCAATACATTGCATTGTTCTGACAGTCAGCTTGTTCTTTGTTTATAGATGCTAGGGTTAGATAATTCGGGGCCTTGCATCTACAACCTACATGAGGTACTCAACCATCAACCACTTGAGCCACAGCCCCTAGTGTTTTTTGAGTTAGTTATTTTTCAGATAGGGTCTCATCCTTTCATTTATACCTGGCCTTAAGACTGTAGTCCTCCTGTGTAGCTGAGATTACAGCTGTGAACCACCAGCAACTAGCTAACATCAAGCGTTTTAAAAGCTAAGAAAGCTTTCCGCAGCCAAACATGGTGGCTCATGCCTAGCTACTCAGGAGGCTAAGATCTAAGGATCGTGGTTCCAAACCAGCCACAGGAAAATCCCTGAGACTTTAATCTCCAATAAACCACTCAGAAAACTGGAAGTGGAGCTGGGGCTCAAGTGGTAGAGCGCTAGTCTTGAGCTGAAGAGCTGAGGGACAGTGCCCAGGCCCAGAGTTCAAACCCCACAACTAATAGAAAGCAAGCAAGCAAGCAAGCTTTCTTCTGGGAAAGGTTTATAATTTAAAATCTTTTTTGGATATTTTGAAGATGTAAATGACATCCTTTTATCTTTGCATACATATATAAAAGCAACACATTTATACAAATATATCAATCAGATTTTATATTGACAAAGGCCTGGCATTTTCAAGAGATGGTAGTTAAGTTAACATTGATAATAAGGACAACAACGAAGGCTACATTTCTGAGTACCTACTCTATGTCAGGCCGGGCACAGAACAATGATGTAATAATGTTTCAGCGTCTTCCCACTGTGTGTGAGACTCAGTGGTCACCCAGATAACACACTGCGGAGCTCACACCGCCCTGATTCGTGATGATCTCGCAGACCTCCCATTTCTCCTTTATCCCCACCATCTTGAAATGATTATTTTAATATAATTTGAGAAGGAAATATCTAAAGCTCAAGGTTACTCAAGAATTTCTAAAAATGTTTCAAATTTGAACAAATGAGAAATTTGGGACAAGTTTGCCTATTTCAACTTGAGATTGCAGGGAGACCTCAGGAGGAGAGAACAAAGGCGCTTTACATGGGTTGAAGAATGTTCATTTGGCAAGCTCCACACATATGGAACCATTCAAGAAAGAAACATCATCTTGGGATGTCATTAAAGGATTTTTTTTCCTTGGGTTCTAAAAGTATATTTTCTTTAATGTACTTTGGATGATTTGCTAGGTGTTTTTTTTTCTTCATATGGAATTTCACTCTGATGATTAACTAAAAACGTAATATAATGTATTCAGAGCCCCAAAATGGCAACCTCAATGAATACCATTTTGTCAATTCAAGTGCTGAACGACTTAGAAGCTTATGGGAGAGAAAGGTGATACTGTTTTCGGAGGGCTGTGCATAATGTGTGTACATTCTTGTGAAGTTCAGGCGGGCACCAACCCATTGCAATTACTACAGAATGGGATCCTTAGGCATGGCTTGTGGAAACAGAGCAATCACATTAGAGCTCTCTGGATTAAGAAGGTAAGACACTCCAGGATTTTAGACAAACAGCACCTAGATATCACCACTCAAGCAGAAATGCACGTAGTAGAAAAAGTTCCAAAGATAATAGTTAGTAGCAATGTCTCCCATCCAGGTGTGACATTTCAGAACTCTTGTGTCCAGTGATTCTGAACCATTGTAATTCTGAACCATTAGCTGTTCTAGTATCTTTTACCAATCATAAATGTGAAAGTAGATGCTGAGATTACCACAGGCTCTATTTTGTCAAGACTTTGAGAGTGAACTTCTGAGTCCAAATGGAACAAAACCGGGAAATTTAAGAGCCAGATTCTCAGAGTCACCGAAATTTCATCAGCTTTTCATCTTTGGGGTGCCATTAGTTGTAGTGTTGGCTAATCTATCTTCAAAAATGTAGAATTCCCCAAGGATCGCAAAGGAGCAACAGCTAGCTCATGTGTGAGTGGACAGTCACATATTCAAGAACATTCCAGAACCCAACCCAATTAGGGATACAACCGACCTCAGGTTGCTCTCCATCTTGGCCACCGACCCAGGGGCAAGGCTGTGAATGTAGATGCCTGGAGGGCTGTTTTCCAAGGCCAGGCAGCAGGCGCCAATGCCTAGTCCAACTCTTGGCTCTGTGAGAGGAGTGTCAGAGAACACAAAAGCAAACATGACACAGGAAGCAGAAAGGAAGGACAACCAATCAGAAACTTTATTGGAAACCATGTAGTATTGGTCTAGGCTCAAAATGGAAATTCCTGCTTTTCTTTCATCCAGTGGTTTGTTCTCTCCTTAGTCTAAAGATTTGTTTTTGGAAACAGGAAGAATATATAATTAATATTTTGTATTCCTGACATATAGGCTTTCGGCTTGTTTTGTCTGTCTTTTTAGCAACTAATCTCTTGATAAGTAACTGTTGATCATCTGTTTTCAGCAAGTGGGAAGACAAGTAAACCAAGATGAAAAACAGTAAGACTTGCTCATCACCCACTTTCAATTGTTGGGTTATATATTGTTGTTGTCATTGTTATTATTGTTATTATAGTAATGGGCTTTGAACTTAGGGTCTGCGTGCTTGCGAGGCTGGCACAATACTACTGAGCTACATAGCACCAACCTGTTTTCCACTGGTTAATTTTAGAATAGGTTCTTCCCTCCCAGTTGGGCATGCTCCTACATAATGACTCTTTCAGGCTTCCTTTTGTCACAGGGATTACAGACATGCACTGTCTGGTTTCCCTCCAGGGAGACAGTATCTCCTGGACTTTTTTCCTGCCTGGGCTGGTCTGAAACCACAATTCTTTGATTTTAGCCTTTACCAGATGGGATGCACATCTCGCACCGAAGTCTTGTATTTTATGTTCATTTATCTATTTATTTGTTGCCCAGGCTGGTCTTGAATTGCAGTCCTCCCATTCTCACCATCCCAAGTAGACATGATTACGGTTGTGAGCCATTAGTTCCCAACAGCTAACTATATTCTTAACTACAAGATCGAATTCTTTAAAATTTTATGGATTCCTGCCAGGTGCCAGTTGTTCATGCCTATAACCCTAGATACTCGGGAGGCTGAGACTCTTATCTCCAACTAACTACCAAAAAAGTCAGAAGTAGAACTGTGGCTCAAGTGGAAGAGCACTAAACTTGAGCAAAAAAGAAGCTCAGGGATAGTGCTTAAGCCCTGAGTTCAAGCCCTAGGAAAGGCACACAATAAAAAATTGTGAGTCCTGCACTTGAAGTGCTTTTATTTTTTTTGTCTTAAACATGAGCCTCTGATACATAGTGATTCATCTGGGAGGGGCTTAAAGAGCCTCGTGCTTCTGCTAACTCCTCTTTCTTCCCTTCTGTCAAATGACTAAAAGCTTTACATTCAATCTCACTGTCCACGTAGACATGACTGCTTTGAAGGTAAGAACAGATGGTTCCAAAAGAGAAAAACAAAAACAAAGAAAACTTGGAAAAACCCATTAATAACCAAGTTCACGTAAGAATAGATTCCGAATGGTTCCCCAGGAGGACATAGTGTGAAAGTGAGCCATAGCTAGTATCACCTTTGTTGAGTGTGACTTCCATGACAATCCTGTCCTTGGGCCCAGGAGCCTTCCGACCCAGGGATGAAGAACCACAGTCATCAGAGCCTCCTGCTGGTGTCCCCCCAGTGGTGTTGAAGTTTGGAGAGCTGGATCTGCTCATGTGCGTCGGGGTGGAGCAAGGCGTCAGGCTGGGGCTCAACAATTTTGTGCGCACTGTTAAGACGAACAGCCCACTCCGGATTTGCTGCAGAAACAAGAAGGAAGGCACGGGAAAACATTCACTCATCATCTAGCAAAGAAGGGACAAAAATCTCCACAAACTCAAATTGAAAGAAGGAAGGAAGAGAAACCAAGGGAGAAGCTGTTACCTTAAAGGTGTGAATGGCTTCTTGGAATGTCAGGCCTTTTATTGGTATTCCATTTACATCTAGGATTTCATCACCTGGTGACCAAATAGGAGAATTACATGAACACTGAGCTTTAATTTGCTGAAACTGAACAGTTTGGTTAGTACTGGACTGGGTTGTTTATGGTTCCTGATTTACTACTATGTAAAGTGATTTCTGTCGTCATAATGTACCTTTGTGATATAGTTCCTAGGCACATCCCCCAAGTGAGACAAATAATAAAAATGCATCTAATGGAAGGGGAGACACTGATCAAGATGCACTATACATTGACACGCTGAATTGAAACCCTTTTGTACAACTACTTAAAGATAATAAAAGATGTAAAATAAACATTGTAATCCCATCCTCAAAACAATTATGGGATCTAGAAATCTAGCAAAATGTATACACATAAAAATGAAACCAAACAAAAATAAGGAAAACATCTTATTCTTTCTTTAGCCATTATCAAGTTTGAAAACAGATATCCTATGTAGAGGGATCAAACTGCAAATATTGAGTTTTTTTTCTCTCTCTCTCTCTCTTTTTTTGTTTGTTTGCTGGGTTTGGGGTCTCTTGAACTCAGGGCTCGGGTACTGTTCCTGAACTTTTCTGCTTATAGCCATAGCTCCACTTCTAGATTTTTGGTGGTTAACTGGCGATCTCACAGGGGCTAGGAATGTGGCTTAGTGGTAAAGTGCTTGCCTTGCATGCATGATGCCCTGGGTTCGATTCCTCAGTACCATATAAACAGAAAAAGCTGCAGCTCAAGTTGTAGAGTGCTAGCCTTGAGCAAAAAGAAGCTTAAGGACAGTGCCCAAGCCCTGAGTTCAAGCCCCAGGACTGGCACACACACAAAAAAAGAGGCTCACAGACTTTCCTGTCTGGACTGGTTTCCAACCTTGTTCCTCAGGTCTCAGCCTCCTGAGTAGCTAGGATTACAGGCATGAGCCACTGGCACTTAGTGCAAATATTTCCTGACTCATTGTTTAAAAATTTAAATCCATTGGCAATAAGTATAAACATGCACAGAATTTGAGAAACCACTCCTATATTTGTAGAAAGACAGGTTTCCCCAGCTCAAGGAAAAGAGCTTCAGAAGCAGAATGAAGGCTCCCAAGTTATGATTGAGAAATGGCAGCTCCTCTTCCAGAAACAGTCTAGATGCCTGGCACTTCAGTGTTAAGCTAGCAAGCTGCTGTCTCAGACGTTATACAGGGTCACTTCCCATTACTGCAGGGTGATGACAGAGTACCAGCTGGTCCTGCACATGCCCACTTGCCTCTCCTCCACCTCGAGTTAGCCTGTCACCTTCAATCCTAAGAAGGATTGAGAATAATGACGTTGGGTCAATATTTTCAAGCTGTTGATACTGTCTGCTGGGACTATAAAAGAACTTGGACATCCTGTTGACTTATAAAAACTTGTTTCTGGTTTGTGCTTTTGTTGCATGGGCTGTTTTTCTTTTTATTATTTGGAATAACAGTTCATCAACCCTTCAGAGAGTCCCCAGAGAGAAGCCCAGATGAACTTTCCTTAGCAGAGAGACCTTGTCCACCACCTACAAGAAAATGCAGAGCAGCAGAAAAGCACACATTTTCACATCTCACAGCCAGCCAATTCCAGCAGCCTGTTGTGTAGACCATGAAATCCTGTAGCAATGTTCAGAGTATTTTATCACGTGCTTTATCTTTAATGAAATTTCAGAAGTTGTAGAGTGAGTAAAAAAAAATCTCTCTTTAAAAACCACCTAATATAACCAATTGTGTCCACATGGGAAAAGCATGAAGACATTAAAATGACTGCCCATGCTGATAAAAATTTATGTAAGATTTTTAAAAGGCATCTCACTCAATGAGTTGAAAATCAATGCCAATGGCTTATGTTGCTCATAAATGAACACATAGGAGAAAATAGTATTTAGGAGAATCAAGTGCCACTAATTTAACCTTGCAGGATGAATTTCAATCATGTGAAAGTGCTCTGCTGGAGTTTTACGTGGATCTAAGACTAGACACAAATACCACCTGGGGGTTAACTCTTCACCTGCCCTGGAAGTATGGCGGCTGGTCATGCCACTGTTAGCAGATAAGCTTCTGTGCTTGCTCTGCTGTAAGAAGGGATGGCCCCTGCACTCTTACCAGTTTCCTAAAGTAAATTTCTATAAAACAACAGCCCCGATAGTTGGGACCAACAGAATTGAAGTGTCACATCATTTCCCAAGACAACCAGAAATACTCTTATGGAAGACATATATTAAAGTGTGGGGGGGATATCAAGATTCACACTTTGATAAATGTTATTTAAAATGTCTATTCAGGGGCTGGGAAGGTGGCTCAGTGATAGAGTGCTTGATGCGCATGCATGAGGCCCTGGGTTTGATTCCTCAGCACCACACAAACAGAAAAAGCCAGAAGTGGCTCTGTAGCCGGAAGTAGCCTTGAGCTGAAGAGCTGAGGGACTGCACCCAGGCCCAAGTTCAGGCCCCACCCAAAAAAAGTCTGTTCAGAATTTCTTAATTTTGTCATAAGAAATATGCATACAGCCAATTTAGAGAACTAATTCATAGTAAATACACAGATTTCAAACACAAACATCAGATTCTCTTTACTAAAGGCAGATATTATATCAGTATCGGAAGGAAAGTTTTGGGCTATTTAGTTTTTATCTCGCTCAACTATCACAGTATATTCAAGAGGGAAGATGAATTGTGATTGTTCAGTCCTCTTGCATTCAAATGAGGCAGCAGTAGGAAAATGGGAGGTGAACTGAACTCAGCATCAGAAACAGTGCTAGAATTTCCCAGTTAGTATGTAAGAGTGAGACAGTTTCTAGTCACCTTACATTTCTGAGTGTCCCTTTCCTCACCTGTAAGATCACTCTAGTAGTGCCTCCAACAGGTTTGTAAACACAGTTAACGGGATACATAGATGGAAAGCCTTTGTAAATATTTTAAGCACCACACAAAAGGTGATATATATTTAGACATTTAAAAAGATGGACTTGCAAGTATAACTTAGCACCTCAATTTTACCTTCATTTATACTCAAAGGAACTTGCTGAGTATTCTTATATGTGATAAAATGGCAGGTACTGAGCTTAGTGGTAGAGTGCTTGCCTAGCATGCATGAAGCCCTGGGTTCGATTCTTCACTAACACATAAACAGAAAAAGCCAGAAGTGGCGCTGGTGGCTAAAGTGGTAGAGTGCTAACCTTGAGCAAAAGAAGCTCAGGGACAGTGCCCAAGCCCTGAGTTCAAGCCCTACGACTGGCAAAAAAAAAAAAAAAAAAAGGCAGGTGCTATGGAGTTGGGGTCATTTAGGAACCAAATGACAGGGTGGTTGATTTTGACAGGAAGATATTGAGTGGCTACTAAGGAATGACCAGGAACTCTGCTTTCCTACTATCTCTGAGATGAGCATGGATCACAAAACTCTTAGGAATTTTTTCCCAAGTCTAGTACTCTACCAATTTGAGCCACAGCTTCACATTCAGCTTTTTGCTGGCTAATTGGGAACTTTTTTTGCCCAGGCTGGCTCTGAACTATGATCTTCAGATCTCGGCCTCTTCAGTAGCTAGGATAATAGGTCTGAACCACTGACGTTTAGCACTCATAGGAATTTTCAAGGCAAAGAACATGATCAAGGACTAAGGGCCCAAGTCTCCAATAAAAATATCAAGCCCCTTTTCATGTACTATCCGATCATCTGATCATCAGCTCTTCCAGGTAGATGATACCATTTTAAATTTACAGCTGAGGAAATAGAAGCTCAGCTGTCCATGATGAGCGCTAGAGTCAGCCTACGCCTACCCCAGCCTTAGTTATTGTGCCTTTTACATTACACCTGGGCAGGGGCAGATCCTCATGGAATTGAAGCTCAGTGTTCCTAAGAATCACCAAGAGGCTTTCTCCTACCTTCTTTAAGTCTTCCGTCCTCTGCAGCTGATCCATTTGGGAAAATGGTCTTGACAAAAATTCCCATCTGGCCTCGAATACAGTCCCGACCTCCAGCAATACTAAAGCCAAGGCCCTACATTCAAAGCAGATATGAGTCAGGTTGACATTGCAGTATTTAACAGAGGACACCTTTCCTATCGCAGAATATAACTGCAAGCACCTTTCCTGCTGTTGTATGTGACCAAGGTGTCTGCCTAATCAGGTGAAGAACTTCTGTTCAATGAGCCATAAGCTCCAACGTTCATCCCTTCCCTATTTCCTTCCTCAGATCTAATTGCATTGTCTAAGTCACGCATTCCATTAAAAGGAAGACAGTTGAGGCTGATTTATATGAAATGGCTAAGATCTGACGATCTTAGACCTCCAAGAACTGAAATTTCACACAGATCAACCACATAGGTCTTGGGAATCACATGTTCTTGCCATATGAAAGGTGCCATATTTGCTTCAGTACTTGCATTTTTGGATACATTTTGATCTATGAGTAATGTCAAGTTATGCATATCATTCTTTTTATAGTAATAGCCATGCCATGAACTTTACTCAAAGGATAACGGAGTACTTCCTGAAGCTACTGGGTCTTGAGTTTCTGTCACTGGAAGCAGAAGTTAGGAAAAGTGGATTCAATACTCACAACAAAAAGAAGAAATGATTGAGGACCTTTCATTCCACTTTTGATTTTCCCTAGAGCCAGCCAAGTGCTGTAACTCTGCATCCTAAAGGCAAAGTGGAGGTAACCATTGCATACACTGGGGCCCACAGGAAAGAAGGCTGGGAAACCCATACTACAGCCGCTCCCTCTATCTCTCTTGTTCCTGTTGTTTTTTAATCTCATGTAACAAAAGATAATAAAATCTAAAAACTGAAATTAACCATCCAAGGAATAATGCCACCTATTAGCTGGAAGGCCAGGAGGGAGCCTGCAGAAAAAGAGCTCACCTTGCCTTTTTCTTTATACAACCCAATGATGGAGATGACAGACGGCCGGATGAGTCTCCATGGAGATTCCACATGGGTGGTGCTCAGGGAGCGGGTGGACTTCTTCACGATGTGGTATTCCTAAAAGCCAGAGGAAGGTAAGAGTAAAGATATGTGTTGGGGGCCCTGGCACACAAATATACACAGGCATGAAAATGTCAGTCTTTTGTTGAGATGACAGTATTTCTCTGCTCCATCTCTGGTCTAGTGAATTAAAGGAAGTTTACCATGAGTAATATTGGAGAAAGACCCTCTGCTGTTATAGATCTACATGCCTCCCCACCCTCGTAAAGAACTACTTAGCAACCTCGAGCACTCATGTTGTTCTTTCCTTCTCCATATTTTACAGATCCTTCTGGAATGGAGTCAGGAACCAGAAACCAAGAGGCCTCAAAGATATGAGATAACCACCCTGTGGTTGGATGGTAGTTGGAAATCACTCTCCTACCACATCCCCTTCCCAACTTCACAGTCATGGTCAGAAAGTATCTCACCATTTTAAACTAAATTTGCTCATTCAAAAACTCAGTAATCCTTGTTTCTTACATATGGCAAACCACAGACCCAGACAACTGTTATTCCACATGAAATACCCTGCTGAGACATGGTAGCTATTTCAGCTCTAATCCCTCATATTTGGAAAATAAAATCTTTTCCCTAAGCCACACTTTCCCTTTTTGGACCACAGCAGTCAGATCAGGCTATGTATTCTAAACATCATCAGCCTTGTACTTTGCTACTCTTAGGAAGAAAAAGTAAATGTCTTAGGGGCTTAGAGATTCTAACATGAGCCAAAAATAAATCATTTCATGTTTAATATACAAAAAGAGAAATCACAAAATAGATTTTATCCTTAAATTTGTGCCTGCTATGCTGAAATATAGAAATGTCCCCCAATGATATTTTTGTATCCCACACAGTTTAGAGCAATTACACTGCGAAGTGGTACCAAATCTGCCAGGAATCTGAGCCTCCCAGACTTGGTCTAAAACATCAATGCTGAAGGCTTGGCAAGGTTACTACAGTTTTACTGAAACCACTGCAGAGAGGACCAGACACGGATTCGAGTCTGATCTCCATGAGAGAACTCCTCTCATCACTAAGCTCTGACCCTGCCTTACTCACTCCTCCTTGTGGAAAGCAGCCGAAGCATGCTTCACGGCAGAGTGCCGGGCTTCACCTGTACATTCCAGGCTGTGTTGTCTAATATAGTGACTGCTCACCACCAATGGTGCCTAGAGTTTAAACATAATGTTAAAGATTAAAATGCACTAGTCACGTTCTATGTGCTAAGTAGTCACCTAAGGCAACCGTCTTAGATAATACAGACACAAAATACTTCCATCCATCTGTAATTCTAGTTACTCAAGAGGCTGAGATCAGAGGCTCATGATTCAAAATCCATGAGGCTCCAAGTAATCACCAGCAAACCACAAGTGACGCTGTGGCTCAAAGTGGTAGAGTGAAGTTCAGGGATAGCACCCAGGCCCTGGGTTCAAGCTCCACAACCAACAAAAACAAAAACAAAAACAAAACCCTTCCATCCCTGCAGAAAGTTTTATTGGAAAACTCTAATCTAGGCATGACTTTTTAGTGGAGGGAGAGAGAACAGAAAAAACAAGGCCAATCATGGGGGAAATAAAGGACAGAAAATAAGCAAAATAACAATTTGAAGAGGGAAAGAACTTGTTTCGAAGACTTTTTTTTCTTTTTTCTTTTTTTTTTGGGTCCGGTCGTGGGGCCTGAACTCTGGGCCTGGGTGCTGTCCCTCAGCTCTTCAGCTTAAGGATAGTGCTCTACCACTTGAGCCACAGTACCACTTCCGGCTTTTTTCTTTTTGCTTATGTGGTGCTGAGGAATTGAACCCAGGGCCTCAGGCATGCAAGGCAAGCGCTCTACCACTGAGCCACCTTCCCAGCCCTCTAAGACTTTTATATTAGTATGAGCTTCCTGATTTCTGGAAGCTTGGGCTCTAAATATGACCAGGTTTCCTTGATCAGTCTGACTGGCATAAACAACAGTAAACTTATCTTCTATATTAACTAAAACAGCCTTGACAACGAGGCTCTCTGATGGTTTTCTGGTCTTCCTCATATCTCTGTGAGTTCAACTGAAGTCATTCTGAACAGGCTCACAGACCCATCTGTCTGCTGGCAGTGGGTAAGTTTTAACAGACCATAGACAATCACCTGTGAGATTGTGTTGTGAAGACAACACAAAACAGCCTTATCCCCTACCCTGTCTCTGAAACAAGGATACTCCCTAGTCAGGTAAAGAGCACCAGAAACACTACCAATACTTTCCTGCATTATAACCAACCATACTCACACATGTCTCTTCACAGAGCCATGTGAGTCTTAGGCAAAATATTTTTAACTTCCTTGATGTTCAATCGATACATCTGCAATGCTCCTACCATATCAAAAGTCGAGTCAAGACAGGCTGAGCCAACTCTTTTACAACGCTACTGCCCCCAAAGTCCCCCAAGGACTTGTGGGTGTCACTTCAACCAGCCTTCTCTTGCTCATAGGCCTGAAAACCAGATGGCAAAAGTCGAGGACAGTGTGTCGGAGGAGGAGCCTCGTGCAGGTTTATGGAGCCAGGGCTCTGATGGGAACAGCTCTTCTCTACATAGCTGATCTTGGCTGTCTGAGTTGTCACTGTACAGCAGGTAGGACCCCAGACAGGGCAGAGGCACGTGTTCAACCCACCCACCCATACAGCTGTTACACTGACACATGATGCTCGCATAAAATAAGCAATGGTGGTTCACCACAGACTAGAAGACGCCACTGTCTCCTGGCAGTTGAGCGCAATTTCTTAGTTCCAAAACACACAGAAGGAAGGGAATCAACATGTTGAGATCCAATAGAAGATTCTTGTTTCCCTATTCATTCAAACTGACTTCCTTCTAGTTCTGTGGGTAGACAGCAATTCTCTCTACTGTCTTCTTGGTCTCTACTATCTCTCTGGCCTCAACTGCTCATAGTCCACACAGATGGGGAGTCCTTCACACTAAGGTTCATCCTGGTGTTTAAAAGGACAAATAAATGAAACGAGCCTGGAGGCTGGCGTATGGCCTGCTCTTCTCTCCCTAACCAAGCAACTGTGGCTGTGAGCGAACCCAGGCCCAGAACTGACCTGAGATGACCCAGAGGAGTCCAGCAGCTGGGGAAGGGAGTGTTTTCGGCCATCTCGGGAGACCTCCAGCATCCTGGCTCGAGGGTCCCCATTGCGTACCATCAGCTCATTGTATTCTTCAACAGACTCTAGGCGGTGGACACCTCCTGGAGATAAAGAGAGTGGGAAAAGCATGGCTTGGTAAGGAACGAGAAGAATCTTCAGTGCATCCATCCACAGGCATGAACACATGGCATTCATAGCCAAATAGGGAGTTTCAGAAGGCCTGGCACCCAAGATACCCAATAGGCCATAATCAAACCAAAGTTTGAAGTGATGAATTGTTGCAATTATGAATGTCAAGTTAGGAAGAAATGATGAGACTGGGGAAAGGCAATGCTTATATTCATTCCAGGTTATTTGTAGATGTGGGGAGAAAGTCTACAAAGCAGGTTTGCTATGAACTTGAAAATCTGCCACCAACTCCTGGAGGTATGACCATGACCAGATGAATAATGACTTTTAAAGAAACTTTTTGTTCAAGTACATTAAAACAACTTAAGAGAAAGTGTACTAATTCTAAGTGTACCAGTGAATGAAAATTTACAGGGTGAACATATCCCTAACCTATTTTCCAATTAAAAAGTACAATATTAATCAGAACCTCACCAACTCTCATTCCATGATGTTGACTTTGGACATCATAAATCAGTTTTGCCTATTTATTGAAGTTTATATAAATGAATATAGGCTAGATTAACATAGGCTAAATTGGGTCTTATATGTAATCTCAATGATCTCAGACTGAGACAGATAACAGGAGGATCATGATTTGAGGCCAATTCAGGCAAAATATTACCAAGACCCCTCCATCTAAATTGACAAGACTGTCTGTAATTCTACCTATGTGAGAAGCAGGTAGGTGAATTGTGGTCTACTACTGGCTCCACACAAACATATAAGACCATATTGGAAAGCAAACATCTAAAAACATCAGAAAAATAACTAAAGCAGAAAAGGATTGGAGTTGTGACTCAGGTGTTCTACAACCTGTCTAGCAAGTGTAAGACTCTAGTATTGCCCTTGACAAAACAAACAATATGCACTTTTTTGAGTGTCTGGATTCTTGTTCTTAATATTTATTTGTGGGAATCAGTCAAATTATTGTATGCCAATAATTTGCTTCTGCCCCTCTTGTGTAATATTCCATTATATAAATATATTGCGATTTGTTTATCTGTGCTATTCTTGATGGACATTTTGCCTTGTTTGCAGCTTTATATCTAAAACAAGTGTCATGCAAACTTTGCTCTGGTAAGGGCCATACAGTATATGCTTTTGGTTTTGAGGTCTATGCATGGTTTTTCTTTTCTATTTTCCTTCTTTTTTTTTAATGGTTCACTAAAAATGTAAATTCTGGGTTGAAGGTATGGCTCAAGTGGTAGAGTACCTGCTTAGATAGCATCAGACTCTGAGTTCAAGCCTCAGTACCACACCAAAAAAATGTAGAAAGTGTTTCTAGCTTGTAGGCCACACACATATAACATTTGGGTTGCAATTAGCCGACCTCTGACCTAGAATCTACGGTATTAAATATTCTTCTATCTGTCTGTAGCAGGTGCATCTCCGTTGGGAGACACCCAGAGTGGAGGCACTTGCTACATACACATGCTTCACCTCTGTAGTGCTGCTCACTAGCATGATGAGTTCTAGTTTCTTTACATTCTCCTCATTCTAGTAGGTTCGTGAGATCTCATTCTGGTTTCGAATTTGCATTTTACCAATGACTAATGAGGTGAGGTTACTTTTCATATATGTATTGGCTGTTTTTCTTTTGTAAAGTGCTTGTTCTGTTCATGTTTGTTCACGTTTCTGTCATTTTATTATTGGTTCATATATATATATATATATATATATAATTTTTTGTTGGTTCTGTGGCTTGAACTCAGGGCCTGGGTGCTGTCCCTGAGCTATCTTGCACGAGGCTAGCACACTATGAGCCAGTGCCTGGCTTGGGGTTTTTATTTTTATTTTTTTTTGAGTCCGGTCGTGAGGCCTGAACTCTGGGCCTGGGTGCTGTCTCTCAGCTCTTCAGCTCAAGGCTAGCGCTCTACCACTTGAGCCACAGCGTCACTTCCGGCTTTTTTCTTTTTGCTTATGTGGTGCTGAGGAATTGAACCCAGAGCCTCATGCATGTAAGGCAAGCGCTCTACCACTGAGCCACCTTCCCAGCCCCCGGGGCTTTTATTTTTAATGGATATCTTCGATTACTAAGTGTTGCTGAAATCTATGTAAGTGTTTTCTCCATATCTGTGCCTTACCTTTTTTCAGTGATGGAGGTCCTGGGATTTGAACTCAGGGCCACGTGCTTGCTAGGCAGGCACTCTAACACTGAGCCACACCTCTTCTTCCCTTTTCACTGTCGTGTGTGTGTGTGTGTGTGTGTGTGTGTGTGCATATGCTGGTACTGGAGCTTGAGCTCAGGGTCTCACACTTTTGTTTAGATTTTTCTGCTTAAGGCTGATGCTGTACCACTTGAGTCACACCTCTACTTCTGGGGTTCTGTAATAGTATCTTGGATTTGTCTGCTTGGGCTGGCATCGAACTACAGTTCTCAGATCTCCGCCTCTTTGGTCCCTAGGATTCTATGCAGGGGCCTCTGGTGCCTGGCTTAATGGTGTTTTTTGATTAGCAAAATGTTCAGTTTCAACCTAGTATACAATACAGTCATGTGGCTTAATGACCAGATATAATTTGCAAAAGGCCCTGTTAGGGAATTTTCTCTCTGCACTGACACCATAGAGAAGCAGGCAACACAATCACTTGGGATTACAGCTGTACACGGGTACCACTTTGCACTTCTGTGGTTAGTACTTTGGGTCCTATTTAGCAAGCCTTTTTAGTGCAGTTTTGCTTTGTTTTGGTGCTGAGGACCAAGGCAAGGCCCTGGCAATGGCTAGGAAAGTGCTCTACTGCGAACTGGTATCTTGAACTCCCAGTCTTAATTTTTTTTTTTTTTTGGTTGTGGGGCTTGAACTCTGGGCCTGGGCGCTGTCCCTCAGCTCTTCAGCTCAGGGCTAGCACTCTACCACTTGAGCCACAGCGCCA